TAACCTCCTACAACAATAACCGGAATGGAACAATTCAATATTCCGGACAGGAAACAACAAGCACTATACCTTATGATTAATATCGAAAAGCGGCGATGTCCACTCTAAAATTCTGGTTAAAATCCTATGATCAATAATTATATAAGTAGGTATTGTCGGTATTTGGCAGAAACGCCGATCGTGCCAATTTCACTGTTTGTTTACGTTTCCATAAAGGCGCGGGAAATGCGTGGTGGGGGTGGGGAGGAGGAGAGGGGTTGGGGTAGGTTGGGGACGCGGCACGGCAAAGGGGGAGAGCAATAATTACGGCATACTCACACCGACATATCGTGGTCGCGGGATGTGATTCTTTCCTGGGGTAGGCAATCTCGCCTCGATTAGGATGTGATCCTTTGGGGATGCTTCCCGCCCCGTGCATCGTTGTGTGGCTCCAGGCGGCAACGCCAGGGAAGTGCCATGTGAGGTGCCATGTGACAATAATGAAATGATCAGGATAATAAACTATTATGGGCGATTTGCTATTAATAAGAATTATATTTGGCGACTTTTAAGAAACATGCACCAGCCCAGGTACACGACGTTTGGAGCCGAATCGTATTTGTCGTGGGAGTGTCATCGGCGTGCTCGCGGGAGGTCCCAAATGACGTCCCCGGGGGCCCGACCCGGACGACATCGGCACTACCAGATTTGGACTCAGCGTGCGAAAAAAAAACCCAACACGATATTTCAGTTGTCCTGGTCGTTCCGAGGTTGACGGTCGGTCGGTCGGTCGGTCGGCCAAACCGTATCTTATTTTGACAGCCCCCCAGGCAGCCGCTCTTGTCGGCAGCCACGGCAGCCACGTCCAGCGCCGCCGGTGCACGCACAACGCGCACACCCCACAAGAGCGCGGAAATGGGGCCAAAGTGAGCCCCGCCCCGCACCCCCGCCGTCTCACGGCCACTCACGGCTCTCGAAGCACGACTAGAGCACCCTTCACCTCTCCTCGCAATTTCTCATTCTCGAGGAGGCGGCGGCGGTAGGGTAGCGGGTGCCGGTGCCGCCCCTGGACGCGCTGGCCGCGCTGCTCTGCTTGTTGCTGCTACAATGAGGAGCGACAGAGACGGGATGAGGCAGCAGCTCTGGCCGTGAGACTCACAGTATCCGAGCAACAGTCCAACAGCTGCACGGCCCACACGGCGCACCCGCTCGACCCCCTCGACCTCGTACGAAACACAATCAGCAGGCGTCATGCGGGAGATCTGCCACCTCCAGGCCGGCCAGTGCGGCAACCAGATAGGGGGGAAGGTGAGCGGGAGCGGGGGCGGGAGCGGGACCAGGGCCGCCGAGCAGCTGGAGAGATTGACACCCCCTGTCGTCGTGTGCGCAGTTCTGGGAGGTCATCTCGGACGAGCACGGCATCGACCCCACGGGGACGTACCACGGCGACTCGGACCTGCAGCTCGAGAGGATCAACGTGTACTACAATGAGGCGACAGGTGAGTGCTCCGCGGCCGCCTGCAGCTCCCAGACGCGGCGGGGCGCCCGTCATCGCTAACCCGCGCGCCCACGGCCACCCCCTCCAGGGGGCAAGTACGTGCCCCGTGCCGTGCTCGTGGACCTGGAGCCCGGCACCATGGACTCGGTGCGGTCGGGCCCGTTCGGCCAGATCTTCCGGCCAGACAACTTCGTGTTCGGCCAGAGCGGCGCGAGCAACAACTGGGCCAAGGGACACTACACGGAGGGCGCCGAGCTCGTGGACTCGGTGCTGGACGTGCTGCGGAAGGAGGCCGAGGGCTGCGACTGCCTGCAGGTGCGCCGACAGAGGAGTAGTTGGGGCAGGGGGGGGGGGGCTCGGCGTCCTGGAGCTCGCACTGACCCGCGTGTCGTGCTCGCGGTCCCCAGGGCTTCCAGATGACGCACTCGCTGGGCGGCGGCACCGGCTCGGGCATGGGCACGCTCATCATCTCCAAGATCCGCGAGGAGTACCCCGACAGGATCATGATGACGTTCAGCGTCGTGCCGTCGCCAAAGGTGAGTCGAGCCGCATCCGGGTGGCGCAGCGTCGGCCGCCAGCAGCACCGAGAACTCCGAACCGTCGTCGTGCTGCGCAGGTGTCCGACGTGGTCGTGGAGCCGTACAACTGCACGCTGTCGGTGCACCAGCTGGTCGAGAACACGGACGAGACGTACTGCATCGACAACGAGGCCCTGTACGACATCTGCTTCCGCACGCTCAAGCTCACCACGCCCACCTTCGGCGACCTGAACCACCTCGTGTCCGCCACCATGTCGGGCGTCACCACCTGCCTGCGCTTCCCGGGCCAGCTCAACTCGGACCTGCGCAAGCTGGCCGTCAACATGATCCCCTTCCCCAGGTCAGCGCCGAAGGGGCTGGAGTGCTCCTACTCATTATTACGAATTTAAATTTTAAAAAAACAAAACAAAAATACAT